TCCGTTCCTGACTTTGTAGCAAAACAACTGACTCCTGCATGAAAGCTCATCGACGGAATTCATTTGTTTAGTCAATTACCAAAATTTGGATGATTTTGAATATTCACTTGAAAAGTTATCAAAGAAAAACATTTTTCATTTTGTAACTTCGAGGGCCCGTAACTTGGTTACGAAGACTTTAAGGAAAAAAAGTTATATGAAGTACTGGTGATATTTTGGCCCCATCTATACATTCCCGAGAGGAAAAGAGGAAGTCCAGGGACACCCTGTATATTATTATTCAATGTATTTCAGTGATAGTTATACATCATTTATATTTTTATTGAACTTCATTTTATACTTACACCTGTTTGTTGTTAATATCCGTACAAATTTTTTATTGTGACAATAACAATATTGTATGTACATGCATTGAATAATTGCACATGTTTGTTGTTGATGTGTTTTAGAGTTTTGATTTGAATCGAATTCGAGTCTTACATCATTAAGGCGGACAACAGAAAATGTTCCCGGGTTTATTGAAATATTATGCCGACACGTGTTGCGTATAAGGGCCGAAATATTGAGTGGATGGCCTAATCAAAATGTGCTTCGGAAGAAATTCTGCTCAGCACAAAGAACCAAAATGCTACCCCGATAATGAAAACAGATGTTTTCATATTGTGAACATAATTCAGAATAGAAATTTCATTTTTGAAAAGCAAGTCGATATTGTTGTGAAGTGAAAACTACTTTCTTTTCAGGTAACGTTCCCTTGTGGTTCATGAAGGAAAAGTACTTTGAAGAAATTTATTTATCAAAGATCAATGTAAGTAAATTACGAATTGATCAACGTAGCCAAATCTTTTTGAAATTTTGTATAAGGGCAACATTTCTCAATCCGACAAACTTTTATCTATCACCCACCCACCGTTATGGCCGACTTGTTTTTCACAAAACTGAAAAGATTCTTCAAATTCATGTTTCACCAAGAATCACCAAGAATAACTAAATCCCATAGATTCAAAGTGAAACTCAGAAATTTTAGTCAGTTGCACCTTTTGCAAAATCAATTTTGAGAGTCACAAGCGAATGAATTCTATTACGTACTATCATCGTTGACATGAGTAGACTTAACTTATTCATGACATGAGGTCGTAATTTCATTGATTGATTGGGTGCTTTCTTTTGTAATGTTATCCAGATTGGTGCTGAAGAGGCAACAAGGAAAGTGTCTTATTCCGAAACATGGATGTTCACCATTGAGAATGGCATATAAGTGAAATATTATTTCTTCGATATACTCGTACGACATTGTGTAGCAATCCTATGAATAATGTCCTCCAAGATACGGTTTGGATTACAAACTCGTCATCACATTTGGGTTCCAGGACATCGGCTGTAGATGCATAGTAGGAGGTTGCATATCTTAATGACGATCTAAAAGTGATTTTGAATTGGAGAGAAAGTAACCAGGTTCAATTCAATGCCACAAAAACCCAAGCATCTGTTTTCTCCAAAAAGATAAATGTCTTCGAACCGGATATAAAATTGTCAGGTCAGACAATTCCGCTTTCTGCTTCGATAAGTTTGTTGGGGGTTGAAATGGACATCAATATGTCTGTGAGTGCAAGAATACGAGGACTATCTGTTTGCAGACCTTGGTGTACTGAGTTTATTCTTAAGTTGAGTCATCTGCTGTTCCACAAATCGATTTTGAAGTCGCTTGTGTGCAGTTACCATGCAATTTTTTCTGTAGACTGTCAGAAATAATGGTTGTCGAATACCTTCTGCAGGATGATGCCTTCGAATCAGCCCCCACCCAGAGATCCGATTGGAGAGCCATCATGCAATTTTTTCTTGTATTCCCACCCTTCCAGCTTCCCAAATTCCTTCGAAATTTGGGACCGAAGGCGGGGTAAAATGACAAGTAATGTCTTCTTGGATATATGTTTCTCGCATATTTCAAAATGGTTGCTTTGAAGCTTGTTTAAAAATGAAATGAAATCGTAACATTTCTGCAAATTTTTTAGTCTCACCAGATGTTCAAACGAAATTCCATTTTGAACTAGGGACAAATCGAGTCCATCTACAATTTCTGTTTTAACTTGTATCAAACTTGATCTTGTAATAGAACGAAAAAATTAAGTAATTCTGTTCCACATATTCTGACGTCATGAGTTCATCTCGATAGACCCCTTCTTCATTATAACCCCAAAGAAGGAAATCTGGTTAAGTGAGATCTGGGGATCGTATTGGCCACTGAATGAACCTGTTTCTTTCGATCCATTTCGATCTATTCATTCATACATCACCTTCTTACTTCATTTAGATTATGAGGTGGCGCGCCGTCATGTTGGTAGTCTACCTTTTGTCAATCGGTATATCCTCCAATGAATTTGGTAAAGAGATCTCTGTAAACTTCTGTGGTTCACCAAAAAAATGTCGTCCTATGACCTGATTCCCAATTATACCTCCCCAGACATTTATCGACCATCTGTTTTGGATATGAATTTCTTTGATCCAATCGGGAGTCTGTATTAACTTATCACATATTTCAACATAAGGAAATTGATTTAACAATAAAATCGGTAATACGTTCAATATTGCAAGTAGGGTTGATTTGTAACGGTAGTTTCATTTTATCATGGATCCAATTGAATGAGTTTCCTATAATGATTATTATGTAGAACTATTAGTCATTAAGTCGGTAGTATTACTGATTATACATGTGGTGATTTGGTGAACTCTTTTTTGTAAAAAAAGGTTCTGGAACAGTAAGTGTGAGTAGAACAAGTGAAACGGAGAACGAAGATACTAAAAACTGTTGAGAATCTGAAGAAATGAACTTTAAACGATCAAGCCAGTCTCGGATATACCTACACAGTAGGTTGAACGGTCTGTCTCCTATCAGAAAACAACTACTCACCTGGCTAATACCACGAAGGGCGTTGGATTATATCCGACAGGCGTCATCGCAGGAATCTTTACAGAAAATTTCCTACAATTGGCAATACAACTGAAAGAGTCGATCTTCAATTTTGGAACGGGCACACTTGCAGACCGGTTTCAGGCTCATTAGCCAGAACCGATATCCGATTGATAATTTTTTTCAGTCCGATGATACTAAGGCAGAGAGCACGAAAATCGCGACGGCCGAGCGATGGCGACTGCGAGGCGGCACTGCGCATGGTGATGAGAAGAAGTATCTTGCGTGGGCAAGAAACTTCGGTCGGTCAGTCGTGCTGAAATAGAGTTGTGAGCAACATGACACGTTATCGTAACACAAGTTTACGTCGAAGAGAACTATCGGAGCCAAGTCTACTATTGAACAGGAACGGCACACGTATACATTGATAGTTCTTGTTATGCAGCACTTATACTTCATTTTATTTCGATCAGTTCAGCGTACACACACACACGTGTGTGTCAGTGTTCAAAGGCAACAAGGAAAGTGTCTTATTCCGAAACATGGATGTTCACCATTGAGAATGACATATAAGGGAAATATTATTTCTTCGATATACTCGTACGACATTGTGTAGCAATCCTATGAATAAT